ATACGTATTTCCAAGCTTGGTAATTGACAGCAACATAATGACATTGACATGTTCTGAAAACTTCTCATGGTAATTATTATTATTATTTTTTAAATGTACATACTGAACCAAAATAAATAAACACACAGAATGCAAATGGTGGTGAATGCAAATAGAAAATATAAGAGAAAATTCCATAAAAATACTCCAGCTAAATTTCGATAAGTTTTTTAATATTCAATTTTTTCGCTATCCAGTTTAATACCTCAACTAATTAAGTTGATCATTTTAATACCTCAGTTTTCAACTTATACCGATTTAACTTCACGTATTTAACGGAAAGATAACGTTCATTATGGACTTAATAAATAGATAATGGACGTTATCTTTCCGATAAGTCCGTGAAGTTAATGGGTATAAGTTGAAAGTTGAGGTATTAAAATGATCAACTTAATTAGTTGAGGTATTAAACTGGGTAGGAAAAAGATTTGGATATTAAAAAACTTATCGGAATTTGGCTGGGATATTTTTATTCAATTTTCCCAAAATATAATTATTAATGGAATAAAAATGAGTGGATTTTTATTACCATCGTTTTTTTTTGCTTTAGAAGAACGGAAATTTCTAGTAAAATTTAGATTTGTTCATTTATTAATTTTTTTATAACAACAAGTCAACAATCTACATAAATAATAAATTTAACTCATTTTTTTGTTTTCTTTATAAAAAAAAAAATCATTATTCTTCCTCTAATATACCAATTACCACCAACCATTTTACATCCTTAAAAGTAGAAAGACTTAAAAGGCAATACGATACTAGACCTGAAAAGCCCATTTATAATGGCCCGGCCCGTCACAAATTACAACAGAATAGCTTACTCAACAAGGCTACTTTCGTCATTTACCCACTGCTACACTAAAACCCTAATCTTTAGGGCTTCAATTACCTCACAGAGTCTGCATCTCCACCGTCAATCCACAAAAAGCCCTCCCTATATATAACAATTACACAAACACTCACAATTCATCTAACAATTCATCAGCCGATTCTTTTCTAGGGTTTTAGCTCGTTATCAAATATTGATCTATGTTTTCGATTTTGTGTTGATCGTCTGGGTAATTTAGGTTATTGAATGGCTTCATCAGATAGTCGATGTGGATTTGTCCGTTCCCATATGATTCGTTCCCTTGAAGCAAAATCAATCGTGTTGCTTTCGTTTTTTTCTAAAATCCTCTCTAATCTTTTCACAGCATCGTACTGTTAATTCTAGTACGATGCCGATTCGGGAGCCTTAACTTGAGCAACTACATATCTCTTCTTGTTTGGTTTTGGAAAATTGATTGTGGAAGAACAGTGATGAGTCAGTTTACAGACCTGTAATGATAGCGGTAATGATCGCATTCATTATGAACATCTAAGGGACTGAGTTCTTTCTTCTTTTGTTTTGTTTCTTGTGTAGTGGCTTTTACATATGTATAAAAAGATTCATGCTTTGAATGATTTTTCATGTGAATCTTGTTTTGGGAGTGTATTAGCCTACATTGAATTTAGTTTCCCTCGCTATCCTGTTCGTCAATTACGATGATGTTACTTAGGACGTCGGGGAACAATATTTGTAAAAGGTTTTGGTCTTTTGTGTTTTGTAGTTTGGATCAAATGATGAAGACTTTGCCAAGTTGTTGAATGCTCTTTTGAGTATTATGATTCAATCACTTGTATAGGAAGATCTGATGATTTTTACACTCCCTTTGTTTTTTTTTGTTTTCAATGTGAAGCCGATGAAGATTAGATTGAATGGTTGCTGAAATTGCAATGTTGAAAAGCATCTAACTTGACTAGGACGGTCTGAGGCTTCCTCTGTTTTCTACTTTCTTCAGTTTCAGTGTCTTCGTTTTGGTTTATTGTTGTTGTGGATGATGAGAAACAAAAATCAAAATACAGTTATCCCTGGCTTAGGCTTTTAAAGCCGTTGCTGAGTCTTTTGTAATCTGACACATCACAATAATCTCCAATCCTTAACGCAAAACTTTTTCAATTGTTTCTTTTTTTAATTTTTGTATTTTCGTTAGGGAAAGTAGTTCATTTTGTTATTTCCTTGTTATCTAGTAGTGCCTCTATGTTTCCAAGTCTTATTGAAATCGGTTTGGTCCTGCATTATATGTGTTTGACACATCATTATTGTTACGTATTGATTGTAGCCAAGCTTTGAGTGGTTTTGTAATCCAAGGCTCGCGATTGTTTATCATTGGCAATATAATCCACCTCTGCTTATTACAACATATATATAATTAACATGAAGTTGAATTGAGAGTAATGTTAAAGTAAAATACAGGTACAAGGACCAAGATTTGACTTGAGAGCAATGTTAAAGAACAATTACACAGTAATTTGGAAGTTCTTATGAAGCAGTCAAGAAGTTTTGAGAATCTATGGAATTTTGGTTAACTAGCAGATTTGAATCTTAACGGTAATGATGTGAAAGAATCTAATTTGACTTTGCTGTTCCTATTTTGTTTGAAAACCAACTTCGACAGACACCAACTCCGACAGACACCAACTCCGACAAATGGCTTAAACATAAAAAATTCATTGGGCTTTAAATGAAGAAGACTTGTTTTGGCGGTATCATTACTTATTGAGATGCAAATACTTTCACAGTATGATGTGAAATGGATTTGCTCCGAACTAGCAAAGTTTATAGAGAAGCAAGAGGCTTGACCTTTCAAAAGGTCGTATATCGGGTTTTAGTCGTCCAAAACAATAAAAAAAAAATCATTTTGTGAGCAGTCTCATGTATGTTTGAGTTTTGTAGAATGGACCCATTGGACTATTTTCACAACTATTTGACTCTTCTTTACTTAATCAATAAGTTTCTGGACTTCGGCACATAACGTCTTTTGTTTTGTAAACACTGTGTGTGTCCCTATATTTATGATCTTATTAAAAAGAATTGGGAGCCTCGTGTATGTGGTTCATATAATGTGAAAAATTGAATGCAGTGGTCCAACCATGTGGGCGCGTTAGGTTCTACATCTACTTAATCCCAACAAATAAAATAAGGGAAATTAGCAAAAATAACCATAAAAAAAACTATAATTAAAATCTTAACCAACTATCCTAAATATTATTTGGCCACATAGGCCATTTTAGTTACTTATCTAATTATTTTTAAAAATTGGTTATTTGACAAATTTAACGCATAAAATAAACAAAATGATTTTCAATTTTTTTTTTTTGAATAATTCATTATGGGGGTAGTTACAGCGTGGTCCAGTTTTTTAATAGACTTAAATCGTGACACCTTTCAACTCTTATGCATTCTACCAACACTGCTGTCACATTTAACTTTTCTAACTAACTGCATCATGTCTATCTCGTCCTTTACCATGTCCACCGGTAGATAAGAGAACATAGAGACGAGGTATTTCCAACAAGAGAACCTCTCCTTATGTGCAGCCAAACGCTAAGACCCCACTTCCACTTACACCTGATTCATATTGCATTAGCGATTTATACCTTGCTCGAAAACTTGTTAAGCTGGATTTGGTATTTGTTCTTAATTCTTATGAGATAATGGACCCAAAGTCAGGACCGGTCCTGAAATTTCGGAAAGTCTAAGCAAAAATAAAATTGAGATTTTTAGACTGATATTTTAAAAAGATAACAAATGTCAAAATTTTAAAAATTTAGAGGTTTATTTGTGCAAACAAAAATAAAACAGGGACCTATTTCTGCAAAAATAAATAAATCAAGGGTCATTTTATTCAGAAAATTTTGGAGGCCCAAAGCCCATGTCTCTCCTGCCTATGCTCAGGCCCGACCCTACCCAAAGTACGAATGTCATAAATAAATATTGTAATTTATTTTAGA